TTCCTTCTTTCATCTGTACGGGAAGAACTAAATCCGTCGTTTGAAATACCCAACATGTTGCCTAGTCCGTTAATCGAGGTATCCATCCGATACATAATACTGGGTTTAATCTTAAGTGTGAATAAAAGCACTTAATGCACCTCATAGGTCGGTCTGTCGGTCGGTCGACAATGTCGTTTCCTTTAAAAAAACCATCTAGACTAGAACGTATCCGTTGTTTGAATGAAGTCATACTACTTTTTATACAAAAGCTCTTTGTCGGTGGTGCGTTGGTTTTCACGCAACTGACGTAATACGCGTGGGAACATTGTTTGCTTAATATTTTTATTGTGCGATCTTTAAAGCCAATTAACGATGAAGACGTCCTAATCAATGGTTACCTCACTCGTAATAACTTATGCAAATACGGTTTTAATAAAATTGTTCAAACATTCTTTCGAGTGGGTATACCGTTCGGTTTGTTTTTATTTATTATATTTCGGAAATTTATTTATATAGGGTGATTTTTTTTTATGTATAGAACTTTAAGTTGCAATAAAACAACGATGAATTATTCGATTGACATGAATTTTATTTATCCGAATGATAATCTTGTGGCATTACATTTGAAATATGATTTCTGGCATATGACCGCCACGGCTGGCGCGGATGTAGTCCAATCTGGACGTCCAATTTTCGATGACTTTTTCGAACATTTGTGGCTGTATATCGGCAATAACACGGCGAATGTTGTCTTCCAAATGGTCAAGAGTTTGTGGCTTATCCGCATAGGCCAATGACTTTACATAGCCCCACAGAAAGTAGTCTAGCGATGTTAAATCACAAGATCTTGGAGGCTAATTCACAGGTCCACAACATGAAATTAGGCGGTCACCAAACGTGTCTTTCAATAAATCGATTGTGGCACTATACCGATCACCATTGACTGTAACGTTCTGGCCACCACCGTTTTTGAAGAAGTACGGACCAATGATTCCACCAGCCCATAAAGCGCACCAAGTAGTCAGTTTTTCTGAATGTAACGGTGTTTCGACATACACTTGAGGATTAGCTTCGCTCCAAATGCGGCAGTTTTGTTTGTTGACTTAGCCATTCAACCAGAAGTGCGCGTCATCGCTAAACAAAATTCGCTTATGAAAACCGGGAACAACGGCAATCTCGTTTTGGGCCCATTCGACGAATATACGCCTTGCTTGATGATTGTTTGGCTTCAATTCTGGCACGAGTTGGATTTTGTAAGCACGTAAACCAAGATCCTTCCGCAAAATCTTCCATAAAGGGGATGGACACAGATCCATTTCCTGTGCTCGATGGCGGATGAACTCATTCGGGTCTTCCTCAAGGCTACGTTCTACAGCAGCAATAGCTTCTTCTGTACGGACCGTACGGCATCTCTGGGGATGCGAGTTATCAATAAGAGTAAACGTGGTGCGAAAACATTCCATGGTTAATTGAATTAACTGGTCTGATGGACGATTTTGTCGACGATAAAATTGACGTAGTGCGCGATACGTATTCCGCACAGAACCATTATTTTCGAAATAAAATTGCACCATTTGCAAGCGTTGTTCAGGCATGAGTCTATTCATGATGAATTGACAAACCAAACTGAAAATAAATCACTTGACAGCTGTTAAATCGGTCGCCATCTTGAACAGTAATGCCAACTTAAACTTCTATACATCGAAAAAAAAACACCCATTAGAATCGGTTGACGTTTAAGAAAAAAAGTTTTCTGTATTCATCAGAACCAAACTAACGTAAAATATGAATAATGCAAAAGGCATAAAGTGAAATGATGTCGAAAGTTGGAACATTTTTTAAAACCAGTTAAAAATTTTAAATTTTCATGTTTCAAATGAGTGAGACGAAACAATAAAAGATATGAAGTGCTCTTTGTAGGTGGTTCTTTATTGTTTAATGCTTTCGCTTACCATTATTCATCCTCAAAACGGCCTAATGTTAACGCCATTACAAGAGCTCTCGCTGGCCTAGCGATTAAGGCGCGACTCTTGATACACACATTGGGGGAGATGGCTTCTAATCCCATCGATAGCCACGGACTCGCAAATTTCCTTAATAGAAGTAGCTATCCAACTGCAGAAACTATCTCATATGGTCGAGATGGAAAAAAAAAACATTCAAATGAATACGAACTTTAAAAAACTTTTTAGCTAGCGACAGTATTAAAATCAAATCGGCGAGAAGACCCAGATAAACAGTACTAATCAGGAACAAAACAGGAGAAAACATACGTTATGAACTTCGGCAGTTACAACAATCAAGCAACTCTAAGAACAGGGTAGTTCTTAATTTTTCAAAGAAACTTCACATGCTACTGTAATACTTTTTATAAAACTTCTGAATTCCTCCTGCGTCGGTTTTTGTTGAGTCGAACTAACTAACGTTTTGCCAATTATCCTGTTGGCTTCTTCAGAGCATGACTGAAACCGAGGAATCCAGAAGTTCTATACAAAATAGGGTAACTCTTCTTTTGTAGTTTCATCCGGATATGGGATTTTTTTAGTATTTCGTCGTCAGATATAATACCTACTAGGAACAAAATAAACATTCTTCTTCTGTGAGTCATACTTAACTACATATTGGATGCCGGTAACCCTGTCACCGTCTTTTGAGTATTAATATATGTAACACTTCAGAATTGTTACTTTACTGGAATACGATCCGGTAGTTCCGCGCCTACATTTTAAATTCTAAGCGCCTTTTTTTCCTGCAAACACCTGATTTGTTCTGACGTCCACGCTACCAGGCTAAGAAAGTCGTAATTTAATTCGCTTTATTTAGTTGTTATTACCAATGTTTCAAATACACACTTCTTAATAAATGGTCTCCTTAAAACTATACCCTTCTATCAATGAAGAATTAATTGAACCCGACAGCGGAATAAATGCGTATATATTCTCTTTGAATAAATAATTCGTTCGCGAAATAGATTCGTATCGCTAGTATCATTGGGCGTATGGCCTTATGGACCAAGTTCCGTGATTTCTCTCCGTTCCGGCATCTCTCTCGAATATCTGAGAAAGTGATCTATTTATCTTTCTCACTCCTGGCTCCGAGCGACATGCGTGGTATGATATCGTTTTCCTATTTCGGTAGAAGAACAGTGTGGTAGCTAGCCAAAAAGTGATTAACCTACCGACTTTTTCTTTTGCCATCGATTTGCGGATATAGGGTTAAATTCACTTAGATGTGTGGTCAGCGATTTGGTGATTCCGTTGCTGTTCATATTTTTGGTTCGTTCGGAGAACTGCCCACACTTACTCTGTAAGAGGATTTGACTGCTACCTGCTGCCTACCAAGCTTTCACCCTCAAGAACATTCATCGAGGTAAAGTCTTTAACTATTTAGCTTTTGTTACCTTTACCATTTTATTCACTCTTTAAAGAGTCAGTAAATTTTCCGGCTCGTTTTTGGAATTTAGCCGCTGTCGGCTTATACGCGGAAACTTTATAGGGTCCTTGGAACACCCGTACTCTGGTTGGAGCGCCCGTATCTCCTTGAAGCCCTGTACTCGCCTTAGAGCACCCGTACCCTCTTTAGGAGGGCTCGCGTTTCGGAGGCTTCTGGATTGACGTATTCGGGGAGGATCCAAACTTCGAAGTTCCTGTGTTCTCTGGATATTGGAGCACATTTGAATCATTGCTTGACTACCGGCTCACTTGATAGGTCTGCGCGAGGTCAGACACCCTTTGTAGGCTGCACTGTTCGGAAATAAACGAGGTGACGTCCAGTTCGATGTAAGCGCTACGCGAGATATTGTTAGGCATACCCTTTTTTTTGCTTTCCGTTTTTGTTACGCTCGGTAATTTAATCGATACCTTTTTTGGTATACCGACACGGAAATTCAATAATCATGTAGTTTTACTCTCGAAAATTTGTGAACAAATGCTTTGAAAATTTATGTATAATTATTTGCGGGAAGTTGACGTACCGGTAATACTGAGTATGATCGAGTTTTTTTTTATTTTAATAATTACTTATATTGCCCCTGTAAGCCTGTGGTGATCACCTAAGGGAATTTGAGCTTTTTTTTCCTTTGTGTATTTCTATTATTTTGGGAATTTCGTATTAAACGGGCTGTCAACTTGTTGCGGGGACGGCAATTGAATTTTGCGGAGTTTAGGTCGGTATGTCGCGGATTTGTAGTTTCTCATTATCCAGTTTTCATCTCTCTTTTTTTTGTCCCCTTAACCTTCACGACTATCTTTTATCGATTGTACCAATTTAAATTTAATGGTAGGTTTCATCGTTAATGTTCTCTTTTTTTTGTAAAACATCGGGTTCCTCACACCATCTGAGAGACTGGAAGGTCTGCTACTTCCTGGCGCCCTAAGGATAAATAGTGCTATATTTTCTTTATTATTCGTGGACGCCCCCATCGCTCCAGAACTCTGAGCACTACGGGTAACTAATTTGCAAGCACCCAGCGACCATCTTTTTTTTATCTACATAAAATTATATATTATATTTTACTTTGTATTATATATAGTATATATAAAATCACTTTCCCGATTACCAGTTACCACTTTAAACAAAGCGTATATTTTAGACCAACTGAATAATCATTAATAATAATTTTAATCTATAATTCAATTGGGTGCAAAAAAAAATTATATAATATAATTTTTGCTCTTTTTTAAACTACTTCCATCTCGAAACGTTTCGGGCCAGCGCCGTAACATGAATGGTCTGACATTATCCTTTCAACATGGCGGTTGCGCAAACCGACGCATATTAATTTCGATGTTAATCTCCCGAAGAGCAGCAAATATTTCGTTGCAATATTTTTTACCGCCGTTGGACTTGTTTTGGGACCATTAAAGAAGACCCGTAGAATATGCGTAATCCCATTTACATTTATATGTCCGATAAATTAAAATAATTATAGAAAATAGCTGCGCTTTCTAGTGGGGCAACGGCGGTTTGACTATAAAAAATCGATAGTTTCTCAATTTTTCGTTAAAATTCGTCGGACCCTCTTAAAATCAAGATGAAGACGCTTGCGGTAAGTACTTGCCCGATTGGTTAGGTCGTTTTTAGTGCTTGTTCATGTTCTAGGTGCTTCTCGGTGTACTAGCGACGTCACTCGCCAAACCTGGCAACTTGGGGTATAACTATCAGAGTCCTCAATCGAATTTGGTGATTAGGCAGAACTTGCCACCGCAAATATTGCCCCAAGGTCAGCCCCAAAGTTTGCCGCCCCCGGTCTTACCCCAGACTATTCCGGAACTGCAACCCTCCCAACCTTTGCCACTTTCTCAGTATCTTCCACCGCAACAGCTGTCTATCCAGCAGCCCGCTGTTCAGCTGAGGCAGGAGGCACCGCAGCTTTCATTCCCTTCGCTTCCTCAGGGATTGCCTCAACTGCCGCAGTCGTTGCCCCAGCTGCCTCAGTTCCCCCAGTTCTCGCCACAGTTGCCACAATTTTCTCAGCAACTGCCCCAATTGCCGCAGATTAGTCAACAATTCCCGCAAATCAGTCAGCAGCTGCCGCAAGTTCCGCTACAATTGCCTCAAATTCCCCAGCAGATTCCGCAGCTGCCTCTCGTTCGTCAGCAACTACCCCAACCTCTGCCAGAATTGAAACAACCCTTGCCATTACTTAACGAGCAAATCAACGGTCCATCTTTGATTTCTACACCATTGTCAAGTCAACCCGGTGTATTGGTGACCAAGAACATATACGTACACGTACCACCCTCAGAGCCTCAGCCGTTGCCCCAGGTATTACCTGCCCCAGCGATTAGGAAGAACTACAAGATCATCTTCATTAAAGCCCCTGAGGTGCAAGCTGCGCCTATAGTACGCGCGTCAAGCCCTCTAGCCGGACAATCGGAAGAGAAAACTTTGGTGTACGTGTTGGTGAAGAAACCGGAAGAACCCCAAATAGTCGTTCCAAGTCCCGCGCCCACAGAACCGAGCAAGCCCGAAGTGTATTTTATCAGGTATAAGGCACCAGGCAATGGCGCTAGTGCACCACTAGCGCCCCAGCAGGTGGACAGCGGGTCCAATGCCCTGCCCGTGGTTGAAGACGTTGCTAGGCAAGGGTCACCGGTGAGAAGTGGTGAAAGTAGCAGCGTGTTGTTCTCTGGGGGCGTTCCCGGTAGTAAATACGGCCCACCCGGGTATCAAAAGTAATAGGTGCCACCATTTTTGTGGTTAGTTTTTGCGCTAGTCATAGATAAGAGTCTGTTTTGTGATATCGTTGACCGTTTACGACCTTCATACTTACGTAATTGCGTCCATTTGACTTTAAAATATCTAAATGAAGTGAATTTGTGCCATATTAGTCTGGTATGCAGATTTTCTCGTTATGTATTCAGGAAAATATATTATACGCATCATTGAGCATTTTTATTGTCCTTACACAAGTATCAAGATATCAAATCCAATTTCAAAATCGGAAAGTTTGTTGACCTTTCGCGTTTTACACGAATACATTATGTCACCTTTTTCGAAATATAAGCATCAAAAATTGGAATAAACAATTTCAAAAACGAATGGAAACTTCCTTTCATTTTCGAGTCGTTCCCACCAATATTTTTAGGTTAAGTGAGAATTATGTTTGCCGCACTATTATAGTCATCCCCAGGTCACTCTAGTTGATACCCGAATTTTGGTGTAGATCTCATTAAACGCAACCTGAAAATTATGTCAAAAATTCTTGAGAAAACGGTTTTGTTGTTGCCAGAAGACAAAAGACAAATTATTGAATCAACTATAACAATAGTAATAATAAGAAATACATGAATTAGACAAGTCAAGAAACAAGGTAAAGTATATAAAATACATTACAATTTTGCAAAATGTAAATACTTATAAAGTAATAAAAGACAGATTCATAGTTTTAACCGTATATTGCATTGTTAAATGCTTGTATACTGTACACCGTGTGCCAAATAAACCCGTAGGAGATACGAGAAAGAGTTTTTTGGACCCTGCCGAAGATTTAAAACGTTATAATTTTGTTGATACAGAGTGTCCCAAAAGTGTCCCTCCCCGACATTTTTAAATTTTTTAAATGTATACTTCGACATTTTTGGAAATATCGATTAAAATAAAGATCACTTTCTTAAGAAACTCCTATTTAAATTTTGCATAGTTTGGGCAGAAATCGAGGTTATGTGTTTTTGAGATGATGCCTAATTTGGGCAGCTTTAAATTCAACCAGAATTTATACGGGTGTTGAATATATAAGATAAATTACAAACATACCTTATTTTTTGTCCTAGAATTGATGTCTGAATAAAAATATTGTGTTCCATGTGAAAATCTTGAGATTTTGTAGTTGAATTCTCCAAAACGGCTGATGCGCCTCTGTCAAACTGGTTAAGTAGTGCATGATCATAGTCTGGGATTAAATTTTCGTTGCAATACCTGGACCAGTAGCGTCACAACCCAATTTTATATGGGACAATCAAAATATGAAAAAAAAAACATATCCTCAATTTCTGCCTAAACTATGCAAAATTCGAATAGGAATTTCTTAAGAAAATGACCTTTATTTTAACCAAGGATTTCAAAAATAGCGAAGTATACAGGGTTTTCCATTTAAAATAACAAAGTTGAAGTCGTGGGGGGGGGGCGGGCACTTTTGGGACACCCTGTATCGACAAAATTATAATATTTTAAATCTTCAGAGAGCTCAGGAAACTTTTCTGCAAAACTGTTTCTCTTCAAAAAACCCACGGACCGATAGTCTCTCGCAACTCTAGGGGTAAGCTATTGAAAAGAAAACGCTTATTTTTTTATAACTTGTATGTATAAATTGTACACATTCAGTTTTATTGGATCTCTATTTCTAGCCGGGTATTTATGTGTTTCTCCCACCCTGCAATATAAATATTTACGCTTATTTACATAACACAGTATTTTTGGTAAGTAAATTGTAATAAATGCTGGTTTTATGATCTTTAAACAATGGTCTACAGGATTATAGAAGAATAAAGTTGAATAACATAATACGCACATAAAAGACTTTACAGTCTTTTCGGCTAACAAAATTTTTTTCTATTTATTTTTATTGCTGAATTATTAATTTCTGATCTAGAGGACCTATGAAAATAGTTTCTCGTAGAACTGCTTTAATGAAATGGAAAAAATGGAACTCTTTCATTTTTGTGCGACTCATATATTATGACTCAAAAGTCCTGCAATGTGCGTTATAAAAGTAAGATTAAATATGGTTAATATTAGCGAAGGTGTCAGTCATGCACTTAGTTATAGTTATTAAAAATCGTTGAGGTACAAAAAGGAATCTGCAAAAAACAACATTTTCGTTTGGATATTGATGGATATTAATACCCAAAAAAATCTAAAATCTATGGACATAAAACAAGTCGCCACTTGGGTGAATTAAAACAAAGGTTGGTAGGGTTGTATCTCGTACTTTCTACCCGAGAATGAATAAAGCCCTCAATTACAATTATTCCTTTCTCGGTAATTTATCAATGTGAATTCTTATGTTTGTGTGTTAAACATTTTTTTAATTCAAATATATTTCCTGTCTGCTTGTGGCTTATTCCTATCTAGTTTATAGTAGTGCTCGCAACTAATAAGGAAGTTGATTTTGATACAAGGATTATTTAAGTTATTGCAATCAGATTCTGGAATTGTGTTACGTTTGACTAATAATTAACTAATTCAGCAAACTAATTTTTAGGGCATATTTATTAGCCAGTAATATTTTTTTTTCTAATAAGCAAGCATCTTGCTTCGTTTTCGAGGTACAAGGTGTCAGGATTTATAGAAAAAAATCAATTTTTTTCGCTGATTTTGACAAAACTTGGGACGCTTCTTTGTCATGTTAAGGGTTTTTATTTTTTGGTAATCAGAATAAAATTGTTTCAGTGGCGATATTGGAATTGATATTTATAGGTAACATCGTGTATCGTCATTAAATTAAAATGAAACTGCTGGGAAGCTGAAGCTGGGAGTAGAAAAATATGTTTTCAATTCTGGAATAGTTTTTGCAATTTTTCTAGCAAAATGTGTAACTGAAAAAAAAAATTCGAAAATATGTAAATGTGTTTTATACCCAAAGTTTCGCGCCTTTTAACTAAACAAGTTTTTTTTAGACTAAATTTGGGCGATCGCCATAAAAGAAAGTACCTTCAAAATAAATATGTCTGATGTAATTTCGCATGGAATAGTAAAGTCCGGTTAAATATAGTGAGTTACCCCGAGGATTGAAATTCTGGTTAAAATGCATATACTAGATAGTAAATCCAACAAGAAAACAATTTATTTAATTTATTTAATTATTTAATGTTTTAAATTCAGTTGCATACGTAGTAAAATGGATACGCCAAGCAGTGTTAACATAAATAATAAGACATCGATCGCTAATTTATTATCTTGCACAATTAGTTGAATTTAATTGACTTTGAATTACCACCGGATTAACTCTCGAGGCAAGGGGTAAAATCAGCTACTAAAACCAATCACTAATCACTAAGAAAAATTGGTTCTGAAACGAACGTGGTCAAAAGTAGAATTTTAATTTTTGTGTCATTTGAAAGCACTCATGTTAGAGAATTTCTTAAATTAGTATTGACTACTATCATAAATAGTATTGATTTGAAACTCCATTTTGCTCTTATAGTGGGTGTTTTTTTTCGATGTATAGAACTTTAAATTGGCATTACTGTTTAAGATGGCGACCGACTTAACAGCTGTCAAGGGATTTTTTCTCAGTTTGGTTTGGCAATTCATCATGAATAGACTCACGCCTGAACAACGCTTGCAAATAGTGCAATTTTATTTCGAAAATAATGGTTCTGTGTGGAATACGTATCGCGCACTACGTCCATTTTATCGTCGACAAAATCGTCCATCAGAGCAGTTAATTCGATTAACCATGGAACGTTTTCGCACCACGTTTACTCTTATTGATAACTCGCATCCCCATAGACGCCGTACGGTGCGTACAGAAGAAGCTATTGCTGCTGTAGAGCGTAGCATTGAGGAAGACCCGAATGAGTCCATCCGCCATCGAGCACAGGAATTGGATCTGTGTCCATCCAGTTTATACAAGATTTTGCGGAAGGATCTTGGTTTACGTGCTTACAAAATCCAACTCGTGCAAGAACTGAAGCCATCAAGCCGATCATCAAGTAAGGCGTAGATTCGTCGAATGGGCCCAAAACGAGATTGCCGTTCCCGATTTTTATAAGCGAATTTTGTTTAGCGATGAAGCGCACTTCTGGTTGAATGGCTACGTCAACAAACAAAACTGCCGCATTTGGAGCGAAGCTAATCCTCAAGTGTATGTCGAAACACCGTTACATCCAGAAAAACTGACTGTTTGGTGCGCTTCATGGGCTGGTGGAAACATTGGTCCGTACTTCTTCAAAAACGATGATATTCAGAACGTTACAGTCAATGGTAATCGGTATAGAGCTATGATTACTAACTCTTTCATTCCTGAATTGAATAACCATGATGTCCAGGAGATGTGGTTTCAACAAGACGGCGCAGCATGTCATACAGCTCGTGCCACAATCGATTTATTGAAAGACATGTTTGGTGACCGCCTAATTTCACGTTTTGGACCTGTGAATTGACCTCCAAGATCTTGTGATTTAACACCGCTAGACTACTTTCTGTTCGGCTATGCGGATAAGCCACAAACGCTTGACCATTTGGAAGACAACATTCGCCGTGTTGTTGCCGATGTACTGCCACAAATGTTGGAAAAAGTAATCGAAAATTGGACGCCCAGATTGACCTACATCCAGCCGTGGTGGTCATATGCCAGAAATCATATTTAAAATATAATGGCACGAGATTATCTTTCGGATAAATAAAATTCATGTCAATCGAATAATCCATCGTTGTTTTATTGCAACCTAAAGTTCTATACATCGAAAAAAAAACACCCCTCATAACATCAGTTTTGGAATATGCTTGTCAGGTTTGGTCTTCTTCCTACAGGTACTAGGCCCAACAGACTGAAAGACCGCGAAAGAGATTTGTGAAAATTGTTGGGTTTTAAATAGCTATTCAAAATGGGGATGTTGTATATGACGAATTACTCCACTGCCTTAACCTTACAATTCAAATTGGATTAATAGATTGTCCATAATCGCTGTCTTTGCCTCCTGTTTATGGCTCCTTTACATAGTTTAAATATTATCTCTGACATGCTCTTCAATAATAAGTATATAAATTTCTTACCCAGAGTGATGTAAACTTCTTGTATAATTTATTAAAAATTAAAGAATTCCTGTGGTGTATACTAAGTTTATTCTTGTATCTCATTTGTTTTTTACTACTTTAACTTTTGAAACAGTGTTAGTTGTTATACGACTATTGCATTTGTGTTTTTTCTATTAATCATATCTGGGTAAATGCTGCCGCGT